AAAAAAAAAAAAAAAAAAAAAAAAAAAAGGAAAAAGACTAAGAAAACACAATTATTAACATTTATGAAAGCTGCAGTAAGCGGCTGCACTAATTGCACTTGTGAAGATCGCTGTCACAGACGACTCATCCTGAAAGCGGGTTAACTAATGCTTGTTCAGTACTTAAGTTTGGAAAATACAAACCATTGAAAATAAAAATGGCAATAAATGAGGAATCTTGAAAGCATTTACCCCGTAAGGGACCCGTTACGTGAAGATGACACCTCATCTTCGTCAGACAAATCATCTTCGGAGAATTCGTTGCTCAATGCAGCTTGCAAATCGTCTATCCGCCTTAAAGCCAACTTATGCTCACCTGCTACAGACTTTTTCTCTGCTTCACACTTCTCCAAATTTGTCGCCTGAAAAGCGTAAGGTACTGATTGGAGTATTCAACAGTGCCTAATCTGTTTCGAGACTAAAAAGTACCAGCTGTTTACAACGGTGGATGAGCTCAGTTTCTCGCTTCTTGTAGTCACTAAGCTGATCCTGCAGGACCAACAAATCTTTCCGAGCTTTCCGAGCCGCTTCAGCTTCTTTGTCTTTCAGCGCCGTAGTTTCTGCTAGCTGGTCTTTCAGAGACTCTAATTCATCATTGGCTTTCACCATCATGTTCTGAAATGAAGCGCTATCGGTGCTGTAATATTGTTTTATTATAACTAAGATAAAGTAGATATGTGTAAGAAAAAGCATATTCTTTCTGTCAAACACAGTGCCGACAAGCAAAGTGAAAAAAAATACGGGAGCTTACTGGTATTATAATAAGTTTTAGAATTAAACTTACATCTAATCTTTGCTTTTGCATAACTTCTAACTCAAGTTTTGCTTCAATATCACGGATTTTCTGTTCTGCAAGTTGCAGTTTGTGTTTCTCAACAGAATGAAGTTTCCGGAATTCCAATGCTGATGATACTTCATTCAACTCCTCGTGGAGCCTCTCCTTTTGCTTCTCTAGGGAAGCCAACTGCAAATCCTCATTTGATAAGTAATACAAGACACACGAACACACAATGTTTCTAGGCCATTTTTTTGCTTATGCGATGGGAGTGAACACAGAACGAAATGTTACCTGTTCATACTGATCGGCAATTTTTATAGAGTCAATTGTAATCTGTTGTACTAC